CTGGCGGCCACTAGGGGACACTGGGCCCAGATTGTGCCCAATCCGTTGGGGGAGGCCCGGATTTTTCCGGTCCGGACCTCACCGACTGCACATCCTCCAGCAGCAGCTACACCCGCGGCCACTTTTTCTGGGGTGGCCGCGTTACCACGGCCGTGCACCCGTGTCTCCGTGCGGAGATTCGGGTGTACGGCCTTGGCGTCCTCCCCCAAAATTTTGGTCAATTTATTGGCCAAGGTCTGGGCCTTAGCCTCCCTCTCTGGACCGGAGATTTCCAAAAGGAGACCTCCTGTCCTGGCACGTCTGTGGCGCACGTCCTCTATCCTGAGGTCGGCCAGGATGAGGTTATCCTCAGCCTTTGAAACGACCTCGGTCAGGGACTTTTTGCCTCCAGGAGGCAGGGTAATTGTAACCGCCGCCGTCCTGGGGGCGCGCCGCAGACGTGCCAACCTCTGATTGGCTGGTGAGGGGGGCTGTGTGCCCGCCTTCCGGCCACGGGAACGGGGCCTTGTTGGCGGGGCTGCTGTGGTAGCGGCACGCCTCGCGGCGTTTTGCTCCCTGCGTCCCACAATCCGGGCCCAAGTCTCGGCCTGACCGCCCTTGTCTACGCCCTGTTGACCTTGGACAGGATCCGTGTACCCCACCGCTGCCGCTCGTGTCTTGGCCGCCCGACTCGGCTGGATTCTGGTCGGGGGCGTGGCTGTTGCCGCCGGCTGTGGGGCATTATCGCCTGCAATATTTGCCTTCTTCTTCCTGTTCTTCTTCCCGCCGCGCCTCCTCCTTCTCTTGGAGGAAGAAGGGGCGGGAATTGTCTGGCCTTCTTGCCCGTTGTTCGTCCCGCTGGGGGGCGTTTCGTGCACCCCCAGCCGACTCGAGAGGGCGGTTCTCAATTCTGCCCTGAGTGCGGCCACCTCGTTTCTGACCATGTCCTTTATATTGGACATGGCCACCACCCACATGTCCGGTGGTTCCCTATTCGGCCTCTCCCCCACCAATTGAGGTGAGGTCCTGGCGCGTGGAGTTGCCTCCCTCGGGCGCTCGGGTGACTGCATCGCGCGGGGGGGCGACACCACCTCGCGTAGAGGTGAATGTCGCAACCGCTCGGCGGTACTTTCCAGGAGAGCAGATGTGCCCTCCACCTTCCTGAGGAGTGCGGCGGATTTCAGCTCCTCGACTTCCGCCCGGAGGGCGACAACCTCGGCCGTTAGGGCGCGGTTGTCGTCCTCCAGGTGTGTATTTCCGACCCGTTGTATAACCTCAAGGCTGGCGCATACGAGTACGTCCGCCGAGTCCTTGAGGGCTTTCGCCAATTGACCTTGGAGGTGGCCACTTCTTGCGGCCACCTTGTAGACCGTTTCGGCCGCCTCCAACGTCTGCTGGCCGATGTCCGCGAGTGGCGCCTCGGTCATTGAGGTGGCCACGGCTTGCAGCTCATCGAGCGACGCTTTCTTCCTGACGGGGGCGGGGACGCCGGGATCTAGGATGTCCCTTAATAGGCGCGCCTCCGCCTCCGCCCTAGAAGCCAACATGGCTCCATGTTGCGTCTCCTTTTTCTTGACGAAATCCCCAGTTGTTGTTGGGCGTCCTTTCTTCTTTTTGCGAGAGGGTGGAGCTAACCCCTCCGCATCGCAGAACTCGGAATCGCTGGAAAATTCCGTGTCCGCCAGCGGCAATGCCGCAGGCAGGGCTCCCACACCGGCGGACGACACCGAACCAGATCGTAGTCTGATCGATGACATTGCTGCCGACGTGGAGGAGCCCGACCGCGGCTCGTTCGTTGACGCCCTCTTCCGCGAGGTGGAGCGCTCCCTCGCCCCGCTGAACGAGGCGCGCTCCAAACTCACGGAGACTGACGCCAACTTCTCTCTCATCTTCTTATCGCGGATGTACGCCCTGGCCTCTTCCAGGTTCCGCACGTCTCTAGGGACCTCCTCACTCTCCTCTCCATCCTTACCCCCCAACCCCGGTTTTTGTGTAAAAGAATCCATAATTGGTCCCACGAGTGTGGTCGGAAAGGAGGTCGACCCGGT